CCATGGCTGATAATCCATAAGTCAGCCTTGGATGGGGAGTGGAGAGGAAGGGGAGATAGAGAAGAGAGGTGACTATGTTATAAACCATTGAATCAGAGATAAATTAAAAACACAATAGATTAGTGAATAGCACAGAATAAATTTAAATGTAGAACCAGCATTAAAAGGTTATGAACTGCCCGGCTGGTTTGGCTCAGTGGTTGCGCATCAATCTATGAACCAGGAGGTCAGGGCATGTGCCCAGGTTGTGGGTTCAGGTTTCAAGCTTGGTCCTCAGTGTGGGGTATGCAGGAGGCAACTGATCAATGATTCTCTTTCACCATTGAGGTTTCTTTTTATCTCTCTGTGTCCCTTCCTCTCTGAAATCAATAAAGAATATATTGAAAAAAGGGGGGAAAGTTATATACTATGGCAATGTAAAAATCATAATACAAGGAAAAAATAGTGCATTTGGGATGTGTAGTTTAGGAAATTTTTTTCATTCATAACATGAGGTCATCATGATAAGGCTAAGTATACTAACTTTCTTAATGTGTAGTAAAAAATGTTATCTAAAGGGCACAGACTGAATCTTCCAAGAAAATAGGCTGTATAATGAAACATGCAATAAAAAGAATCAAAAGCTAAAAGCAATGTAAAAAATCCTTATATGATAAAAGGCTAATATGCAAATTATCCCCTTGGGAGTTTGACTGACCAGGAGTTCGACTGCTCGCTATTACATGTGCTGACCACTAGGGGGCAGTGTGGAATGAAGGCCCTGGCTGGCAACCAGGGGAAGGAAGGCCTGGATTGGCCTTGATCACTGGCCAAGCCTAAGGGCCCTACCCATGCATGAATTTCATGCACTGGGCCTCTAATCTATACTAATAAAAGGGTAATTTGCTAATTAGACTGGGAGACCTTCTGGACAAAGCCATGGTGGCAGGACCAAGGCAGAGGCAGTTAGGGACAATCAGGCCAGCAGGGGGAGGCAGTTGGGGGCAAGCAGTCCTGTAGGCAGAGTGGTTAGGGGCGACCAGGCAGACAGGCAGGTGAGTAGTTAGTAGCCAGAGGGATATCCCCTGAGGGGTTCCATATTGGAGAGGTACAGGCTGGGCTGAGGGACACCTTCCCCACCCTATCCCCCTGCACAAATTTTGTGCACTGGGTCACTAGTAAAATAATAAAATTAAGATGAAATATTTTCCAAGTAAATAAATATAAAATTATAAATTGAATAAACCCATTTATTAAAGGAAAATGACACACAGATTAGAGCAGAAAAGTCAAACCAATTAAGAGATGTCATCTAAATGGACTAGCAGATACTATTTTAGTACATAGTTTAGACTTTTCAGACATACAATTGCTTTTGCAACTGTTCAGCTCTCCTGTTATAGCATGAAAGCAGCCATAGACAACATGTAAGTGAATTAACAGATTTGTCTTGTAAGCCAGAGTGTTCTGACCTGTGATTTAAAAACAGTGGGTAAATACGCAACTGGCAAATTGAAACAACAAAAGTGAGAGTTCAAATATTTTTGTCAGACAAGGCTGAATTTAAGACAAAATTCATCACTTGAGTTGTGTTTCCTAATGATAAAGAATGATAATCGAGTGGTTATGAATCTTACATATCAAATAATACAACTTTAAAACTTATAAAACAAAAAATATATGGAGAAATAGACAAATCATATTATAATAGGGTATTTTGACTGATCCCTTTCTATCTTGATAGAGCAAGCAGACAAAATACGTAATAATATAGTGGATGTTAATATGGTGTAACAACATACCTTGGGTACAATGAATGCACTTTTTCAAGAATCCTTATTAGGCCCCAAAGACAATCTCAGTCAAATAAAAAAACAAAAAACAAAAACAAAACAGAAATATATGCAGATATGGAAGATTCAAAAATACTAAGCAAGAAAAAATGAAAATAGAATAATTCGTCCCAAAGAAGTTACAAAAGATAAAAATGAAAAGCAAACAGAAAGCATCAGCTCTGGCCATTGTGGCTCGGTTGGGTGTCATCCCCACACACCAGAAGTTGCCAGATTGATTCCGTGCCCAGGTTGCTGCTTGATCCCTGGTAGGGGTTGTACAGGAGGCAACTGATGGATAGTTCACTCGTACCTTGATGTTTCTCTCTCCTCCCTTCTCTTTCTAAAAAATAAAAAAAATGGATTATCAAAGTTAAAACCAGCAATTGATGAATTAGAAAACATACATGAAGATACTAATAACTCCAAGAGATTTGGGGTTCATTGTGTTTTTATTTTAGAAAGATACTGGGGGGGAAAACATGAAATAACCTCCTATTAAACCTCACATGAACAAAGGGACAAAGCACAGATATCACATATGTGTATGAATGAATACACTGAATATGAGAAAAAAAATCACATATACTTAGGAAATTAAATGTAAGAAGTCATATTGCTGTACTGTATGGGGATAATGTTAACACTGATTCACTATGAAAAACCAGTACTAGCCCAGGCAACCGTCTAAAGAGCATTATACCCGGAGTGCTTTTTAACTTGCTCAAGGATATAGAAAAAGAGAAAGATTTTCTAAATTATTTTTTGAAATATTATATCAAATTCTGGCAAAGCACACAATCAGAAAATTTAGACCTTTCTTCTACTACAGAAATCTTAGATATTAGCAAGTATAATTCAGCAACACATTAAGATGATAATACATAATGACCAAGTTGCTTTCACCCAGGACTATAAGAAGAGTTCAGTATCAGAAAATAATAAACACCATATTTTTGAAAGTATGAAAGAGAAAAATGATTATCTTCCCCAGAAGCTGAAAGAGAATTTGGTAACAATCATTACTTCTGTGTTTAAAAAAAAAAAAAAAAAAAAATAGGACAACTTCCTAAAATAGGAATTACTTGATACTTTCTTAACATAACAGGGAAATCATGTAAAAGTCAGCGTTATTACCTTGGTGGCATGGCTCAGTTGTTGCCAGGTCAATACCCCATTGAGGCACATGCTCAGGCTGTGGGCTAGATCCCTGATAGGGTGTGTGATGATGTTTTGCTCCTGATCTTTTTCTCTCCCTCCCCTCTCCCACAATCTATAATTTTTGTTTGTTCGTTATTTAACATGTCCGAGGCACAGTATTTGGTGTGTTGCATGCTCTATCATTCTTGGAGCAGCTTGATGATAACATTGCTACTATTATTATCCCTATTTTACAGACGAGAAAGCTGAGGCTAAATGACTTGTTTAGGATAACAAAGTAAGTCCAGATTCTGAACTTGAGCAAATATATCTTCCAACTCCTCAAGTATTTATGTGTCTTGCCGTTCACTTGTATAAGGAATTTCATACCAAATTTAGTAAAGGAGGGAGTGTTTTTTGAGGCGTTCTGTAGCTGGTATCTAAGCTGCTCTAACAGCCATGTGGGTGGCTTTCAGACTGTAGAGAAAGGGTGTTAGACCACATCAACCCACTGCAGTCCTGACTTGACAGATTAGTTGATTCAATTTCATAGAACCATGTGGTCTTATCCTATGTGATAAAAGACATATGCAAATCAAACTGTGGAACTGCCAGTTGCTGTGACACACACTGACCACCAGGGGGCAGATGCTCAACGAACGCAGGAGCTGCCCCTTGGTGGTCAGTGCACTCCACAGCCAGAAAGAAGCCAGGCTCACAGCTGCCGAGTGCAGAGGTGGTGGCAGGAGCCTCGCCCACCTCCATGTCTGATGGCATAGGCCTGCTCCCCAGGGGTCGTCAAGGGCTCCCAAACTGGGAGAGGGCACAGGCCGGGCTAAGGGACCCCTCTCCCCCCAGTGCGCGAATTCGAGCACCAGGCCTCTAGTAATAAATATATAAACGCTATTGCTGGAACTTTGTGTTTAGAGAAGTATGCGTATTGTGTCCTTTCTTCCATTTCTAACTAAACCTCCAAAGACTCATAAACCTTGATTGTTGTTCTTTTTATTTTAATTGGGAGTGCTGAACTGAGTGGTGGAAGTGTGGTTGGGTGACTAGTCTTTGGGCTCAACAAGTGGGCTAAGTGAGGGGGAAGATTGGAGGGAAAATTACTTTTTTACAAACAGGAATTTGCTCTTTTTTTTTTTTAATATTTTTATTGATTTTTTACAGAGAGGAAGGGAAAGAGATAGAGAGCTAGAAACGTCGATGAGAGAGAAACACTGACCAGCTGCCTCCTGCACAACCCCTACCGGGGATGTGCCCACAACCAACATACATGCCCCTGACCGGAATCAAACCTGGGACCCTTCAGTCCGCAGACCGGCGCTCTACCACTGAGCCAAACCGGTTTCGGCAGGAATTTGCTCTTTTTAAAATTTCATAAAAATATTTGTTAAAAATTGCCAAACACTTGTCAACTTATCAGAAAATGTAGACTTTCTGAGGGAATTTGAGGTCCATTGTCATTATAAAGAGATTCAGGTCCTGAAAATAGGTATAGCCTATAAGCACCAGTAATGAGATGAAAAGACCTGATGGCATTTGTTTGGTGGAATATCCCTACCTGTTTTGAGGTATTTCCAAAACTTAACCAGAGGAGAAGTTTTTAGTTCCGTTTGGAGGGGTAAGGTAACTTAATATTTTACGCCTCTTATTATTTTAATTTGGAATTGGGACATTGGATTATAATGAAGAATCCATCCCATTAGAAGGGTGATATCCTACTATTTTACTTTTGAGGTGAGCAAACTTTGCTTATTTCACTTTGTTAACTAGGCCTTTTGATATTTTTATAGACAATCGGCTTCATCTTGATTCTGCAGCATTCCAAAGTGTGGTATCCTTGGGGTTCTCTTAACATTGCTATGGTGCAGAAGATTTAAAATCAGGTATGGCTATGGGGCCAGAAGTCACTCAGTAAAATTCTCAACTTAATCTGCCTTATACTATCTGATTTACCATTTGGGTTTCTTTTTCTTTCTTTCTTTTTTTTTTTTTTTTTGTGGTGGTCTTTTAGCTGATGTTCACAAGGAATAGAGTCACGTGATGTATGAAGGGAAACATATACACTTCTCTGAGGTTGACAATAAGCCCTTGTGCTCATATAGCCCCAAACTGTGCAAGCAGCGGCGACTCAACGGCTACGCTTTCTGTATCAGACACGTTCTGGAGGACAAGACTGCCCCCTTCAAGCAATGTGAATATGTGGCCAAGTATAACAGCCAGCGCTGCACCAACCCCATCCCCAAATCAGAGGATCGCAGGTAAGAGCTGCTCAAGGGACTCCGCCTTTGATACATTAAGCTGGGATTTTTCTTTTTCCTGCCCTTTTTTCTTTTACATACAGTGAATGTAAAGGATCTTTCCTGGAGTATTTTCCTGAAATTTCCCCTTAAAACTGTTGCTTGAAGCCTTAGTATTGATGTATTTAGTTTGCAGCCTTATAAAGTGTTTCTGACTTGTCATCTGCCTAAATGAGAAAAATTATAGGAACTACTTAGGTGTTGTAAGTAATGATAATAATTTTGGAACTTTAAAATCTATGCTTGAAAGGTAGAAAAGGGTATGTATTTATTGAAAAAGAGTTAGTTAGAAGAATGATTACTGGAGTCATTTACTTTTTATCAGACTTTATTTTTTGTTAAAAAGAATTCCATATAGAGTATGTTTGCAATAAATTAGAAACTGTGTTTTCATAGTATGGGTGGCTTTTAGCACTAGAATTATGAATTATGCCTTGCTGAATTAAAAATAATAATACAGGAAGATGTTTTAAAGAAGTCTTATGCTGGTTGTTCATCTTTTATATTTGTAGGAAAATTCACACTAGATTTCACATTTGATCTCTTTTTCTTCAGTTCTACAGAATCACTATTGATCAATGTAATTTATTACAGAGGGCTTCATGCTTATTATATAAGACAGTTTCAAATATTTGTTATCTTTAGGTAGAAACTTTGAATTTTTTACTTTTCTCTTAGGGATAAAAAGCTCATCCTTGTTCCCATACATAACCGAATGTCACCTGCATAAAACTCTTGAAAAGGAATGTGTATTTTATATTCAGAGTGAGCAATTTTTACCCCATTTAGGGTAAAATAAATAATTTGTGTTGATAGAGATCCCACCAAAATGAGTACCTATAGTATAATGTGGTGGTTTGGGAATACTCTGTTAGAATTTCTAATGAGCACTTCACGCGTCAAATTACAATACCCGAAAGTTAGAAACAGCTGCTAGTGAGGCAAGGAATAAAATTTTAATCTCAGGTGAGAAAGGGACCACTGTATTAGGGTAAACATATCTGTCCATTTAGTTTTAGCCGACTGAAATGATAATTTCTTACTCCTGCCCTTTTTAAACTTAAAGAATGGAATAACTTGGATTAATTTTTTACTTCAAGCTTCATTATAAACACATTTCTATAATTTTGTCTTAAATTCCATTTTTCACAGTTGTGATTGTTAACCTTGGATTTTTAAAAAATTCAGCTGAGCCAAAACTGGTTTGGCTCAGTGGTAGAGTGTCGGTCTGCGGACTGAAGAGTCCTGGGTTCGATTCTGGTCAGGGGCATGTACCTTAGTTGCAGGCACATCCCCGGTGGGGGGTGTGCAGGAGGCGGCTGGTCAATGTTTCTCTTCCATCAACGTTTCTAGCTCTCTGTCTCTCTCCCTTTCTCTCTGTAAAATATCAATAAAATATATATATTAAAAAATAAATAAATGAATAAATAAATAAAAAATTCAGCTGAAGTAAGTATCATAGCTTACAGCAGACAGTAAAGTGAGTCACTTTGAATTTGTCCAAAATATTCTGTGAAGCATATGCCTTCACCTTTATATTCTAAGTAATTTCCTCTTTTTAGAACAAGAGAAGGGAAAAGATTTTTATGTTGCTATGTAAAGAGAAGCTACTTTTTTTTTTTTTTTCAAAGTTGGTCCAAGAACATATATATATATATATCTCCTTACCCGAGGATATTTTTTCCATTGATTTTTTTTAGAGAGTGGAGGGAAGGGGGGAGAGTGAGAGAGAAAGACACTGATTGGTTGCCTCCCTCACTTGTACTTGCCTCCACCAGGGCCGGGAATCAAACCAATGACCCTTTGATCTGAGGGCCAATGCTCTAACCACTGAGAAAAAATGGCCAGGGATATAACTTTTTGGGTATTAATATTTTTGTTTGTAGGGTTTTTTGAAAATAGAATTAAAGTAGACTTTAGCACAGGTAATATTCTTATGTTACCTCAAGAATTCCAAGTTGAATTTATGTAATAATATCTTGATAAGTGTATAAATATTGATAGTTGTAACTATACTACATGACATACTATAGAAAAGATTAATATTTTGAAAATATTAATTATTTTGTTCATTATTATTGATGCAGTTACTCCTTGGACACCTAGTTATTTGAGATGGTTTATATATTGTTTTAGAAAAAAAATTTTAAGGATTTTTTTTCCATTGATATTTTTTTTTTTTTTTTTTTTTTTTTTTTTTGAGAGAAAGTGCAAGGGAGGAGAGACAGGAGAGAAATATTGATGTGAGAGAGACATATCGATAGGTTGTCTCCCACACATACCCCAACCAGGGCTGGGGATTGAGCCTGCAATTGAGGTATGTGCCCTTGACTGGAATCGAACCCAGAACCTTTCAGTCAGCAGGCTGATGCTCTGTCTACTGAACCAACCCAGCCAGGGATCAAGGATTTTTAATGGATAAAATTATCTGGTTGGTGGTCAGTTAGAGGAAGCTTCTTGATATCCAGTGTCTAGCTTATCTGGTGTGTATTATAAATCCTAACTTATGGTTCTAGCTGTTTGAAATAGAGTAGTGTTATGTTCAGTGGAAGTACTGGTATAATTAAAAAGTAAAAATAATTTTATTTTTTAAAAATATATTTTATTGATTTTTTTACAGAGAGGAAGGGAGAGATATAGAGAGTTAGAAACATCGATGAGAGAGAAACATCGACCAGCTGCCTCCTGCACACCTCCCACTGGAGATGTGCCGCAGCCAAGGTACACACCCCCGATGGGAATTGAACCTGGGACCTTCCATTCGCAGGCCAACGCTCTATCCACTGAACCAAACCAGTTAGGGTGTAAAAATCATTTTCTAAGCTAGGACTCATTATTATAGTCTTGGTTTCAGAGATCAGTGGTTATATTAAGGTGGTTATTTTATATAATATTTTAAAATTAAGTTTGCTATAATTATATATATATATATATTACTAATATGTATATATTTGCCAGAAAAACTCATCATTTGTATGTTTACTTTTTAAAACAGTCTAAGATAAAATTCACATCCCATATGTTTACCCATTTAAAGTATATAACTCAGTATTTTTTCATATATTCACTGGGTTGTGCAGCTGTCACCATGGTCTAATTTCACAACATTTTCTTTACCCCAGAACCTCATCAGCAGTTACTAATTCTTTTAGACTAGAAACTCACGATTGCACTGACTTTAAATGCTAGTGAGCTGTTCTGGGTGAAGAGGCGGAGGCTTAGGAGTTTGGCTGCTATGATGGTGCCACCAGTGAGACTGCAGTGCGTGCAGTGAGGCTGAGGGAGCTCTGTTCCGTGCATCAGCCTCTGCTGTGTTACATGATGAAGCACTGAGCGGCCTCATTTACCAGTTCAGGCTGCCCACATGTCAATGACCAGGAAAGTCTGATTTGTAAATTAAAAAAACAACCCCACCTTATTTTTCTTCACTAAAAAAACTAATCCATTTGTCAAGTTGAAAACAACAAAACCATTTATTCTGTATTAAAGGCCCAGTGCATGAAATTTGTGCACAGGTAGGTTCCCTAAGCCTGGCCAGTGATCAGGGCTGATTGGGGCCTTCCTTTGTTCTACACTGCCTCCTGCTGGTCAGTGCATGTCATATCAAGCGAGCGAACTCCCCACGGTTGAACTCCTGAGGGGACAATTTGCATATTAGGCTTTTATATATATAGATTGAAAGCTTCTATACTTACTACAGTTATCCCTGAAACCCTTCCTCTTGTTGGCCACAGCTTTATGAAACTGTTCTCTGTGTGTGTAGATCATACAGTGGATACTTGGCATTCTTAAGGGTTATGTCATAAGATCTTTTTAAATAAATTTATTAATTTAATAGAGAGAGATTTGTTGAAAAGTGATTTATTTATTTGAGAGAGAGGAAAAAACTTTTTGTTCCACTTATTTATACATTCATTGGTTGATTTATGTATGTGCCCTCACCAGGGATCAAACCCAAAACCTTTGAGTATCAGGAGCACGCTCTATCCAACTTATGGGCCAGGACCCATAAGGTCTTTATGAATTTCTAAACACTTGACTGGCTTTAGAACACATATTTTTTTCTCCATAAGAGAATTTTAAGTGACTCTTACGAGTTACTTTGTTTGCTGTGAATACAGGATAACAAAGCTGGGCCACTCAGTATTTGAGTGACTTCTGTCTGGCGGCCTCTGCATGTGTACAGTCGCATATTTGCTTCAGCAACATTGCCAGACTTCGAGGATTGCTTCAGAGGAGTGGAAGTTGCATATATGAAATTCATGTCAAGAGTCACTCTAATCATGCATTTTTAACATACTAGGATTCATATTTTAGAAAATGTAGTCTTATATTTTGCTTTTCTTAATATCTATCATGAACATTTTCCCATGCATGTGTGTGTTTTTAAAGGTACTGCAACAGCCACTTGCAGGTACTTGGCTTTATCCCGAAAAAAGAGAGGAAGAAAAAGAGCGATCCCATAGAAGAGGTGAAGGTCAGGCACCAGATGGATACCATGGCCTTCAGCCTGACGGTGCCCACGTTGGCCTTGAAGATGCCCAACGGACTGGATGGAATGTCCCTCTCGCCACCGGGGGCCAGGGTCCCTCTCCACTACCTGGATACCGAGTTGGAAGACCCATTTGCTTTCAACGAGGAAGATGATGACCTAAAGAAAGGGGCAACCGTGAGGAAGAAGCTGCAGAGCAAGTTGGCCCAGAATCGCCAGCGCCAGAGAGAGACAGAGATTTTAAAAGTTCGGCAAGAGCACTTTAGTCCCCCTCCTGCCCCTTCCCAGCAGCAGCCTCCGCAGCAGCACTCCAGCCTGTCCCCTCTGTCCGCGCCTGTCAAACCTCCAGCGCCACCGCAGGGCTTAGTCTGCAAGTCACCTCAGCCTCCGAACACCAGCCTACCACTGCAGGGAGTGGCCCCCACCACACACTCTATAGCACAAGCCAGGCCGCTGTCCCACAAGAGGCCTCTGCCCCTCCTGCCATCCAGTAGGGCTCCTGTCCTGGACCCGCCCAGGACTGACCGGGTCCTTATGAAAGCCACCGCCTTCTCTCCTCACTTCTCTTGTATAAGTCGCCTGCAGAGACTGGTGAAACTGTGCACTCAGAAGCATCAGTTGGACACTGATCTGTTTCCCCACTTAGGTGAGTTATCTGTTCCACCATATTATCCATGTGTAAGACAACAAAATGTGCCCTTTTGCACGAGGCTTTATTTTGGCAACTACCCCATATGGGATGGGGTAGAATCCTTGGATTCAGTGTCCCGTGGAAGAGTCTGTATTTAGGTAGACCACCTTAAAGTGAATATGCTGCTGGAAGAGGGTAATATTTGGTGAATAGGATACGGAAAAGGGAGCTGAGAGTTTAGAATCCCAGTCATAGCTTGTAGTAGTGGCACCAGCAGCAGCAGCAGCAATAGTAAGAGGCAGTTGTATTTGATGGCATGCCTCTGGGGTCTCAGTACCTGTGTGTCCAGTGAAGTTCTCTACGTGTCTTATCATAGGACTTTGGAATAATGAGAGCATTGTTAATATCTGCCAACAGTTTAAAAATGAAAACTTGAAAAAATTCCCAAAGCAATAAGTGTTCATGCTTAAGAAAATCTCTTTGATCCCAAGTTTATGAAGATATTCTAAATTTTATATTAATAGTTTGATTGTTTTTGATCTTTAACCCATTTGGAATTTATTTTTGAATGTGGTATGAACTGTGATTCTGACCTGAGGAAAAATTATTTGCTCGAGATGACAGCAATAGAAAAATGGAGAAAGGATGGGAATAGAGGAAGAAGAAATATAAGTTGTCAATAAACAAATAAATCTCAAGCCCCAAAGTAGGTGGGAAATGCAAATTAAAGTAATAACAAATTATCATCAGATTGGCAAAAATTATATCCAGTGTTGATGAGGATATGGGATCTCAGACATTGCTGGTGAATAATATTACAGTATTTGCTAAATCACATCAAAGTGTGTGTGTGTGTGTAGCCAACAAACTCACTTTAGGGATTCTGCCTTATGGATAACAATAATCAGAATATAAGGAACTGTGTTCAAAGATATTTATTACAGCATTGCTTGTAATATTAAAAAATCTACAAACTATCTTAAACCAATAGGAAACCTTGAGTAAATTATGATACATCTATATTTTTGACGTATTATGCAGCTCATAAAAAGAATGAATGAAATCTATATTTTTACCTGGCTGTGTCCATAATATGTATTAACAAGTAGAAAAAATTTAAGAGGCATTGTAGTATCTTATTTTTGTAAAAGTAACTGAACAAGGGACATCATATATTTGTTGCTTGAGTATATGGATAGATGTTGCCTGTTAGATGTGAGTGGTCAAGTGTGAGTGGATATACACTGCTGAGCTGTTACCATTGGCTGCCACAAGCAGATGGAGTGGACAGGGGGTGTTTTTAAGTAGCTGGGAGTGGTAACTCCTCTTGTATAGTTTTAAATTTTTTCTCCTAAACCACGTATGGATTTAGTTTATTAAAAAAAAAAAAAAAAAACTTAAAATATATAGACAAAAATAATAAAATACCCCACCTCTTATTAAATTGAGTTCCTGCTATACATACAGTTTTGTAACTGTTTTAAAAATTTTGGTAATGTATTATCAATTAGTAATTTTTCATACACAACATAATTTGTCACAGCTGAATACCTTTTCTAATTTAAGTAATTTCCATTATAAAGTGTTGTAGCTGCATAGCCTTGCAGTAAAACAATTACTGTCATATCTTTAATTTTTCCTTCAAATAGATTCCTAGAAGCAGAATTGCTGATTCTAAACTTTTGCATTTTTAAAAAGGTTTTTGATATGTGCTGCCAAATTTTCCTTCAGAATTATTTACCCTTTTGGCAGTGAATGAGAATGACAGCTTCTCTACATCTTTATAGGCATGGGTATTAGATATTATTATTATTAATGCTATTATAATTTGTTTGCAAATTTTATAGAAATTTTGCTTTAATTTGCATAACTTAGATCAGTGTTTCTCAAGTTTTAGGCTTTAGAATCCCTTTACACTCTTAAAAATTATTGAGGATAACATTGAGCTTTGTATTATATATGTGAGTTATATCTATTGATATTTACTGAATTAGAAGTTGATACAGAAATTTAAAAATAATTCATTTAAAAATAAAATTCACCACATGTTAACATGTTCTTTTTATGAAAAATGACTGCTTTCCAAGACAAATATCATGTGAAGAGCAGCATTGTTTTTATAAATCCGACTATCTGATTTATTAGAAGACAGTTTAGGTTCTCATATTTCCTTCTGTATCTAGTCTGTCATTATATGCAGTTTTGGTTCATAGATGAAAGTGTGGCCTTACACATTTGTAATTGGAAAAGGGAGGAATACTTTAAATTTTTTTCAAATAATTGTGGATATTCTTATTTGATTCTACGCCAAAATTTTGTAAGAGTTAATTTCTTTAAAAGTAGTTATAATGTGGAATCTGCTCTCAGATGAAGGAATTTTACCTAGTTACATTAAAATCCATTGATTTACCTTGTACTTGAATGGGTAATTTTCTAAAAAATATATATATTTTTTTTATTAATTGCTTTTTAAAGAGAGGAAGGGGGAGAGAGAAATACATTTATTTGTTGCTCTACTCATCAGTGCACCCATTGGTTGATTCTTGTTGTGCCCTGACTAGGGATTGAACCCAAAACCTTGGCATATGAATACCACGCGCTAAACAACTGAGCTACCCAGCTCATTATATAATATCTAGAGTCCCAATGCTCAAAATTTATGCAAGAGTAGGCCTTCCTTCCCCCGGCTGCTGGCACTGGCTTCCAGAAGCACTCAGAAGCATCAGCCCCTGCTTCGTCTGGAAGGACGTGCAGTCTAATTAGCATATCACCCTTTTATTATTATAGATATACTAAAGAATCAAGATTTAATGAAATAAGCCATCTTTAATAAACAAGTGCTGTATCAGGAACGTCCTTTAAACTTTATTGCTTTTATTTAACTGCAAGTCCTGGTGTGAAATGTATACTGACTTCTAGTACAGTTGGTAGCCACTGCCTTGACTCATGCCAGCAGTTTACCCATCATAGTGTTTGTTGTATCATGAGTGTAACTGTCAACACTTGTAATTTCTTAGTTGTGTTTCAAAGACAGCATCAACCTAAGGAACTCCCTTGAGTTTCAGGGACCCCTGGGAATCTTTTGACCACATTTGGATGAGAACTGTTATTTTGGATTATTAATATAATTGTGAATGTTTGTTCATGTGGGGGGTTTTTTTGTGTTTTTTTTTTTTTTAATTTGTATTTTACCTTTTCAATTTTTCATTCATTTTTAATGACGTGTTTCTAGGTTGTTTTTTATTAGTAAGAGCTTTTTATGCATACTTTGTTATAATACCTCTCCTCCTTCCCATTTGTTATTTGCTTTTAAATATCTGTTATGATGTTGGCATTGAAAAGTTATTTTATTTTTTTGGTTTCCAAGTTTTATTCAAAAACTCATACAAAATGTGCCAGATTAATAAGCTTTAATCCTCATCTTCCTCCTACTCTTCATCCTGGCTTATTTGGAAGTAACGCAATTTGTAACTCTTTGCTGTTAGCAACTACGCACAACCAATCACGTAGATGATTCTTCTTCAAATATTATTTGGTGAGATGTTTCAGATACCTTTTGGAGAAAGGCACCGTGGACGTTACAGTGATTTTACTCCTGCTTCTTTCAATGGTTACAACCCTCTGCTGAGATTCCCAGCTTTTCCATTCACTTTGATCTCTCCTGAACAAATGGCTCCAAGTCAGCAGCATCCATGATCCCACCTTCTGCGGGGGGTGCAGTTAAGGGTGACTTCAGAACCTGCTTCTTTCCTTTTGCCCCCGTTCGCCACGAGCTTTTCCACGGGAGCCATGGCGGCCATGGAGTCAGGAAAAAGGGAAAGTTAAAATTTTTAGGGTAGTCTCATTTTTAAGATTTCTTCCTTTTTAGTCAGCTCCGCCCTCCCCCATCTTTGGGCTCTCTTCATCCCATCAGTATTTTACCTATATATTCTTTTAGTCCTTTTATTATTTACACTAGAGGCCTGGTGCACAGGTGGGAAAGGGAGGAGTTGGCCATTCCTCAGCTGACCTGTGATTTCTTACAGTCCGGACGCTGCATGCACCAGTGACCATACTTTTCATACAGGTAAAAGGCATCTTGCTGCTGTATGGGCAGCTACATTTTTTTGCCCTGATTATAAAAAGTAGTACATAACATGCTTGCCACTTCCTGTCTCCTCCCTGTGGTCTGTGTGCATCATAGTGACCAGTCATTCTGCATCGTTCCGCTGGTCGGTTAATTTGCATATTTGGGTTTATGATATAGGATTTTAGTCATCAATTTGGAACTCATGAGGTGTTAGTTTTGAGACAGAGATCTAATTTTTCCTCCCCGAATTTTTGCCTCTTATTCTATCACTTATCTATATCATCCACTAGAATTTTTACTCTTACTTCTGGGTGCTGATAATTTTTTAGCTTTTGATTTTGAATGTTGTGTTGAGGGATGATTTCTATCATGTTGGACGGAATGAAATTTGCAGAAACGCATTGTCTTTTTCTTTTTTAACTCGAACATATTAGGAGCCCAAGTTTTCAAAACAAAGATTGTTTTGGAGAAACCAGAAATTGTAATGCACTGTTATGACCAAACATTGCACTAATGCCAGCAAAGAATACTTTTAAAAAATGCGGTCTTGTGATTGGCTTTAGCACTCCTGTCTGAGCTGGTTATCTTAGTAACTTACATTAAGACTAGTGATAATGAAGCCAAGATCAAAGGTTTGCTTTATTGGACAGTTATGTTATAATAGGAGAAACATACTTTATGTTCTTACGATAGTATAGGTGTCTTTCTTAGTAGAAATTATACCTTCTGCAGATAACTCCTATTCTAATTTTTCAAAGATGCCTAAATGCCACTTTGTGTTTGAAAGAAAAAATGCACCATTCAACATCCCGAAGCTGATGCTGTTGTGATCACTTGTCTTTTACTTTAAAACAAACAAACAAACAAAAAAACAAAGCAGCAGAAACCAGTTTGGCTCAGTGGTAGAGCGTTGGTCTGCGGACTGAAGGGTCCAGGTTCGATTCCGATCAGGGGCGTGTACCTTGGTTGCGGGCACATCCCAATAGGGGGTGTGCAAGAGGCAGCTGGTCGATGTTTCTCTCTCATCAACGTTTCTAGCTCTCTGTCTCTCTCCCTTCCTCTCTATGAAAAATCAATAAAATATATATTTTTAAAAAACAAAGCAAATTACTAATTATTTTAGTTGAGAAAAAGTAACTTACTTTTGAAAATGACCTGAAATCTTGAAACTAGATTTGAGGTTTCTACTGCCTGTGGCAATGTGTTCTTTAATTTTAAGCATTTAAACTTTGTACTTCCATTAACTTTATCTTAATTTCTCTACTTATCACATGTAAACTTATTTAAATTATGTGAGAAGCCCTGGCTGGTGTGGCTAAGTTGACTGAGCGTGGTCTGATGCACCTAAGGATCGCTGATTCAATTCCTGGTCAAGGCACCTTCCAGGGTTGCACCGTCAGTCCCCAATGGGGGGCATGCAGAAGACAGTTGATTTATCTTTCTTTCTCTCTCCTCCCTTCATCTCTCTCTCTCTCAAGTCAAATTTAAATATTCCAGAAGATTTAAATTATGGAAGAAATCTGTGAAGTCCTTTTAAATATAACTTTAGTGGCCTGGTGCACAAAATTCGTGCACATTAAAAGGGGATTATTTAGAGGAAATATTTTAATACTGCTGTTTGCTTTTTCTATATATATAGTAAGTATCAGAGATGAAAGAAAATTAGTAAAATGTATATGAAAATCTTCCTCCTATCAGAGTCTGGGTGTGCTGCGGGATCCAGAGTCAAGTCCCTGCCCATCCAGGGCACCTCCAGATCGAGTGAGATCCAGCCCCACCCCCAATGGGCAAGATCCAAACCCAGCTGGCCCCACCCTTGTCAAGCCCAGCCGGGTGGGGGACGTAGCCTCAGGTCTCCTGGCCCAGTGCCTGGTGAGTGGGCATGCCTTGAGGTCTCCCAGGCTGGTGTTGGGGTTGGGGTGCAACCTGAGGTCCCCTGTTAAGCCCCACCAGGAGGGGGGCACAGCCTCAGGTCCCTGCTAATTGCTTGTTAAGCCTCTTTATGGGAATTGGGCCTCCTATGTGGGTGAAGCCATCTTGTGTTACAGAAATTCCCCACCTCCGCTGTGGGCACTGTCATCTGTGATGGCGTGGTGGTCAATTTGCATATTCCCTCTTAATTAGATAGGGTTAGAGGCCTGTTGTATGAAGATTTGTGCAATAGGCCTGCCTTCCCCTGGCTGCCAGCACCGGTTTTCCTCCGGTATCCAGGCCTTCACTCTGACTGCAGTAGAGAAGCCAAGCCTCTTCAGTCTTCATTCTTTGCTCAGGCTGGAACCTTCAGTCTTCGCTCCATGCCTGTGTATGCAAATTAACCCGCCATCTTTGTTGATATAATTTGCATAGTCCTGATTGGATTGTAGGTGATGTGGAGGTATGGTTAATTTGCATATTTTTCTTTTACTAGTGTAGATGATTTTTTAATGGTCTCAAGAAGGAAGATGTAGAATACTAGCAATCTAATTAAAGTTTAATAGCAGAATTAGTATATTAAAGTAATATATAGTCTCACATGCTGTCATGTTTTAGGCTCATTATTGTATTTATCCAGATCTCTTCAATATACACAATTTTTAAACGATCAAAACCTTTCTGTTGAAAGCTAACAGTTATTCAATCATTGAAAGCAATAGCATTTAACAAAATAAGTAAGCATTGTTCCTACTATATTTCTATACTTTTCCCTATAAATTTATTTTTCAGAATAGAACACTAACTGGGTTAGCTATTGTTTAAAGAAGTAAAAGAAACCCAGGCCACCCTGCGTTTTCCTCTTCCTGTGGCAGGCGAGAGCCAGGGAATGGCTCCGCCTGCTGGATGAGTCCCCTCCTGCACACGCGTGCTGGGAAAGGGATGGGATGTCTTCTTTCAGGGCCCTCCTTTGTTGAAGTTACAGTGACTTTACTGGCACCTTTTGACTTTCATCTTGCCTGAATTTCTTTCTCACTATTTTGAATATGTTTTGTTTTTCTGACATTTTAGGTGTATAATGTTTTGATACTTATGAAAGTCTACCTTTTTTTTTTTTTTAACTTGAACTTTCTTTGCTTGTGTTGTTTCTACTCCATTTGTGAAATATCTGATAAAAGAAGTTCATTCTTCCATAAAAAATAATGAAATCTGACAGTATGGGTAGACCTAGAGGTTATTATGGTAAGTGAAGTAAGTCAGCCAGAGAAAGACAAATACCATGATTTCACTTACAGGTGGATTCTAAAGAACAAAATTGAAACAAACTCATAAACACAGATCAGAGACTGATGGTAGGCAGAGGGGAGGGTGATTGGGGGACTGGGTGAAGGGATTAAAAAATACAAATTGGTAGTTACAGAGTAGTCACAGGAATATAAAGTACACTTACTACAGTTTAGGGAATACAGTCAATAATGTAATTCATAACTATGTATGGTGCCAGGTGGGTACAGGAAATATCGAGGGAAACACTTTGTAAAGTATATGATTATCTAACCGCTATGCTATACACCTGAAACTAATACAAAATAATATTGAATGTAAACAAATTGAAAAAAAAAAAAAAACCCACAATGAAAAATGTTCATTGTTGGACTATAGCCTTTTTGGTATAACATTATTTGAGGCCTGAGTGTATGTCCTACATTCATTATTAATGCCTTTGTTAGATAGCGGTGACACTCATCAGGAGGCACTTATACTGTAGTAGCACTGGCTATTGGTGTTAGGTCATGTATCTCAGGGTTGTTGTTTTTGTCTAAATTTTAAATAAAAGCACATTTTTTTTCTCACTTGCAATAACCTTTCCTGTCCAGGGTTGGACTGGTCTGAAGAGAGCGGAGAGGAGCTGGAGGACTCGGAGCAGGCCTCGCCATACCAAGTCGCATGGTCCATCCGAGAAACCCTCAGATACGAAAGACACACGTGAGTCTTCCTTTTTGTTTTTATTCTTCAGTTACCACTGTAGCCGATCAACTCTTCCCTGGGTGTGCAATTTTTTAAAAATTTATTGGCTCTTGTTTTATTGTAAGAGAGAGAAAATAGATTCTACTCAAGAAGAAATGTACTGGATTGTTTAAGGAAAGTTACTCTTAAGTTTTCTTAATTTGTTTCTGTACCTTTCCCAGGTATCACCGAGGGTCATAATTGTAATAGAATTACAGTAGAAAGGGACTTTAGTGATTTCTGAGCCCGTTTCCTCATTTTACAGAAGAGGAAATCAGGGCCCAAATAGGTTGAGAAACTTAAGTCCCATTCTTTGACTACTTCTTACCTTTGTTGACCTTATCCACATAGTAGCTGGAAATAGTGCATTAAAAAAAAAAAAGTGGTTTTTTGGGGGGTTTTTTTTTTTTGAGGGAGAGAGAGAAACATTGAGAGAGAAACCCCTTTCTAGGGAATCAAGCCTGCAACCTGCGCATGTGCCTTTACTGGGGATCTAACCAGTAATTTCTTGGTTCTGAGTCGATGCTCAACCACTGAGCAACACTGGCACGGCTGGAAATAGTGTTTTTGACTTCACCTCTGTCTTCTGCAAGATTTATCTATTCTTTAATATTTTATTTTTAAAATATATTTTATTGATATTTTACAGAGAGGAAGGGAGAGAGAGAGCTAGAAACGTCGATGAGAGAGAAACATCGACCAGCTACCTCTTGCACACCCCCCACCGGGGATGTGCCCGCAACCAACATACATGCCCCTGACCGGAATCGAACCTGGGACCTTTCGGTCTGCAGACCGACGCTCTACCACTGAGCCAAACCGGCTTCGGCTGACTCCCCTATTCTTATCAGATGTTATCTTTTTGCTCTTCTGTCGTTTTTAAAAAGTAAAGTTAAAAAGAATTTTATTTGGGGAATTTCATGCCATGCCTTGGGATTACAGACAAGTCTGAAGTCTTAGGAAATCAGGTTTGGAATTTACTGCTCTGTATTTGGAATTATTAGCATTTAAATAATTGTAATGCGTGTCTTTACATTGTGATCTTACATATGTCATTTCTTTTCATTCTCTTAACCTCAGGGATAGGCAGTCTGGCAGCTATAGGTCTCATTACCTTGAAGGAAAGAAAGTAGCACACCTTGAGAATGCAGTAGGTGCCAGGCCTTTCCACTGCTGGCAGATGATGGGAACTGCCCCTTCTCTTCCCAGTTAGCTTTTATTCAGTAGCAAACCCACGTATGTCACAGCATCGTAGAAGTGGGAAGCATGTTGGAGAATTTCTAGTTTAGGGCCATGCCAGGGATGGTCTGTGGACCTGCTCTGGTCTGCAAGCTTGTTACTGGTCCACAGCAAGGGCAGTGTGGAAATTCTGAGTAAGCTCTGAGCACGTCTGTAAAGAGGTGGCAGCCAGGAGCATCTTTCCGTCATCGCCTTGAGAACCACTGATGTAGGCCGATCCTCCCTGCAGGAACAGCTTTTTCAAGTAGCAGTTTGGGCAAGTGCTTACCCACCTGCTTTACTTTCTCTAGGACTTGCTGGTCCTCCTCTCTTTTCTCTTTCTATTAATGGCACGTTCATCCTCCTAGTTATACAGATTCAAAGTCACTGAGTCCTTAGTGACTTTCTTATCCTTCACATCCAGTCACCAAGTTGAATTAATTCTTTGATGATAATGGCCCTTATATGTCTCTTTCTTTCTGTTATCTCTCTGGCTTTTTACTTTAGTCACTCCTGTGTCTTTCGGTTGTTAGTTGTTGACTCTGAAATCTGTATCTCGTCCCTAAGAGTGCTCCCGTTTATCATTTCCAACGGTTTTGCCACTGCTCCCCCTTATACCTCATCTCCTCGTGAAATTTGCTAGGTCTGAAATGGAGTTTGTTTATTTTTTGCCCCAAATCTGCTCTTGCTCCTGCCCTGGTCTTTGCTGGGAAAACTGCTGAGAGATTATTGTCTTTTCCATTTCCTTTGCCCAATTGGCAAAGTCTGTCTTCTAGACATGCAGGTTACCTTCATTCTCTCCATTCTGGTGTTGCCACGATGGTGTGGCTCCATGTTATCTCTTACCTGGAATTTTATAATAATTTCCTCACTGTTCTCTTCTGCTCTCTATTCCTCCATTCATATCTGCTGATAGTGTAATCTTTCTCATGCACAGCTCTTATTATTGTTACCTTTTTTTCTTAAAAATCTACACGGTTCTTCATTGCCTTGCAATAAAAGGTTCAACTCTTTTTTTATGATTATCTCAGTATTTAATAGATCAACAAATAATAAGTGCTGCCAAGGATATGGGAAAAGGGAGTCCTCGACACTGTTAATGGGACTGCAGACTGGTATAGCCACTGGGGGAAAGAGCATGGAGATCCCTCAAAAAATTAAAAATAGAGCTGCCATATGATCCAGCAATTCCACCTCTAGTTATTATTCAAAGAAAACAAAACACCAATCTAAAAAGATCTATGCACCTCTGCGTTCACTGCAATATTACTAGTAATAGCCAAAGGTACGGAAGCAACCCAGATGTCCACTGACAGATGAATGGATAAAGATGATATGACTCACATATATGTATATATACAATATATATAAATATAAATATGTAAGTACACATACAATAAAATATTGTGTAGCCTTAAAGAAAAAGAAAGAAAGAAATTCTGCCCTTTGCAACAACATGGATGAAACTGGAGGGCACCATGGCAAGTGAAATAAACAAGACAGTGAAGGCAAATACTTCATGGTATGTAAAAACTAAAATAAATAAATAAATAAATTCATAGAAACAGAGTAGAACAGTGGTTGCCAGCGCTAGGGACTGGAGGAGAGGGAAAACAAGAGAGGTTGGTTGTTAAAGGAATAAAAAAAAGGGGGGTTCAACTCTTTAATCCGGCGATCAGGTGTAGAAAGCTTACCTTACCTACCATCACTCCCCTACATGCCCCACACTTTAGCCCAACCGAGCTACTTGCTGCTCTCCATCCTGTCCATCTCTGTATCTCGGCTTATATTGTTTTATCCTTGTGAGGTACCTTTTGTGTCTTGTCTTCAAATTCTTCCTTTTCTTTAAGCTTCGGTTCTGTTGTCCTCTCCTCTGCAAAGCTTTCCTTTCATCCAGCAATCCTTCTAGTGAACATAGAAAGGTGCCCTTTCTAACCTGGCAGGTAGTGGACGTTGATGACTGACCACTTTTTCTCGTGGCCTTGTAATAAAAGGTTCAACTCTTTTTTTTATGATTATCTCAATATTTAATAAATCAACAAATAACAAGTACTGCCAAGGATGTGGGAAAAGGGAGTCCTCGAACACTGTTAGTGGGACTGCAGACTGGTGCAGCCATTGGGGGATGAGCCCTTAGCATCCTCTTCAATGCAGTGTTCCCAATCAGTGCCATTAGCATGAAGACAGGAAAACCTGGTATATGAAGTGCTATGTAGGCTATCTCCTGTAATAAAAAAAAAATCTGTGGAATGATTGTGCTCCCCTGTGGGAGCCCCTTTCACGTCCCGTGTGGTTCAGGGTTCGGGTTCTGGAGAAGGCCGCACACAAATGGAAGAGCCTAGAAAAGTATTAATTTGGGAATATCGGGGGCCAGGCAGGAGCCAAGGGGAGGACTACTGCCTTGCTAAGGCCTTGCCATCCTTTTTATTCAGGTTTGGGATACACCCATGGGCCCTAGGTAATTCCAGCAGCAGGCAGATTATCTTTTTCAGTGAGGATTTACATGATTATTTGGTGGGGAAGTTGCCTCAGTTACCATTGTCTTAAATAGATAAGCAGTGGTTGGCTCTGACCTTTCAGTGTTTAAAGGTTGACCAGCCTTCCACTTCTTTCTATTAGTAAGACAAGGATCTGTTTCCAGCAATCTCTAGAATAAATTTTTTTGTGTATTTACCAAGAAAAACCGGTGTGTCTAAAGGGCCAGCTCTTTGATAATGTGTTGTTAGAATCCTATCTTTGACGAAATTATGCTATTTCCTCATAGCTGCCGCATCACGTACTGAGACCTTTCAGTAAGTAAAGGTAAATAATGTATACACATATTCTTCCCAAGAATTTAGAAGGCACGGAGCACTGTCTACCTCTAATATGCTTAAAGCAGTGGGGTATCTCTTGCCTGCCTTATTGTTGAAATACTGTGCTTATTTTCAGCTCTGCTGGAATTCTCTCCCACTAATTTTGTTCAGTATGTGCTCACATGGCACAGATTTTAACCCCTTTCCTCCCCCGCGGTCCCCCTTCCTAAAAGGAGCCTAACAAACAGGTAACCAGGTCTTCGCTTCTCTCCTTGCGCCTTCCAGGTCAGGTGACGATGACACGGAGAGCAGGAGCTCCAGGGTGACCCAACTTTGCACTTACTTTCAGCAGAAATACAAGCACCTCTGCCGCCTGGAGCGGGCAGAATCCCGGCAAAAGAAGTGCCGGCACACGTTTAGGAAAGCCTTGCTGCAGGCGGCCAGTCGAGAGCCAGAGTGCACTGGTCAGCTGATCCAGGAGCTGCGGAGAGCTGCGTGCCACCGCACCAGGTCAGAGCCGGGGCGCCGTCCACTCCCAAGGAAGCTGTCCTCTCTCTTTTGTTCTTTTAGGGGATAGCTGAGACACCATGGCCTATGGGCACTTAAGTCTGAAATATTTATGAGTTGTATTTTTGTTTTGTTGCTCAAATAATACTGCATGAGCTGACATTAAAATTAAAGCATTCCTGCCCAGCTGGGGGTTCTGGGTTCAATCCCCTGTCAGGGCACAGACCAGAATGTAGCTGATTATTGTTTCTCTCTCACTTTGATGCCTGTCTGTCTCTTTCTGTCTCTCCCTCTGTCTCCCCCTCCTTTCTCTAAGCATGCTCTCCTGTGAGAATTTTAAAAAAAAATTAAAGCATTACTGTGTTTTTCTAGCGTTTGATTATAATTTATTCAGTAAAAGATAAGAGAATGTTACCTATCTTAAAAAAAAAAAAATACAATGCCTTGAAATTTTGTATTATTCAGCCGAAACCAGTTTGGCTCAGTGGATAGAGTGTCAGTCTACGTAATGAAAGGTCTTGGGTTCGATTCCTGTCAAGGGCATGTGCCTTGGTTGCGGACACATCCCTCGTAGAGGATGTGCACTGATCAATGTTTCTCTATCATTGATGTTTCTAACTCTCCCTCTCCCTTCCTCTCTGTAAAAAATCAATTAAGTATTTATTTTTAAAAAAGTATTATTCTTAGTTTTTAGTATAAAAGTGGCATTTTACATTTTTTGTTTATTTAAATTTTTTATTTGAAATGTATTTCTGTTAATATCTACATTATATGTTTAAATATTTTATAATATTACACTGAATGTCTTGGGGGGGGAGCCACTGCTTATAGTGCAGATACTTGTCTTACTGTGAAAAATGAAAAAACATAAAAAGGGCAGCTGGCCAGTGTGACTCAGTTGGTTGAATGTTGACCCATGAACCAAGGGGTCACCGGTTAGATTTCAGGTCCTGGCACACATCTGATTGTGAGCTCAATCTCCAGCAAGGGCCATACTGGAGGCAACCAACCAATGATTCTCTCTCCTCATTGATGTTTCTTTCTTTCTCTTCCTCTCCCTTATTCTCTGAATTCAATAAAAATATTTTTTAAATAAATAAATAAATATTTTTTAAAGGAGGGGAATCTCCATAAATAATAATATTATTCAGAATGAGCACTATAAACATTTTTATTCTATTTCCTTCTAGTCTTTCTCTCTCTTTCTTTCTCTGTGTGTGTGAATCTCCAGGGAGCCATGTATTTGTATTAAAAAGCAAAATTGAGATCATACTGTATATATATTTTTTTTATTCTTTCCTTTTTCCCACTTAACACTGAATTGTGACCTTCTTTTTACTTTAAAGCATAACTTTTAATGATTTTATAATATGAATGTCAGTCTTTACATTTTTTTCATTTTTATGTTCATAATTAAGCAAAATTAGATCTGTATTGTTTTAAGAGTTATGTGTCCATTTTCCCCCTTAAAAATATATCCCCAATGTTCTTAGATTGTTTTGAATATATGCTTTCTAATGTTTACATAATATTTTATTGATGAAAACATCTTATTTAACTAGTGAAAAAAATTTCACATTTGGAAGGCTTAGTTCTGTATTGAGTTTATTATTTCACATTTTTAGTTATTATATTTTCAGATAATCTTGAAAATATATAGTATATAACATTTTAAGAATTTATATTTAAATATTAGCAGTAGTTGTTTCCAGATAGTGGGGTTGACTATTTATTATGTATCATACTATATTTGATGATGTTTTAGATGTGTTATCTTTTCTTATCTCTACTTTACAGGTGAGACAAGTGAGACTTAGTAAGGCTAAGTAACTTGCCAGGGTCACACAGCTCTTAGAGAGAGAGCTGATTTTCAGAACCAGGTCTGACTCAGCTAGTCTCATGTTCTTCATCACTTTTCTCTACTGTCTTCTTTGTGAAGTAAAAGGAATCAAAATATTGCTTTAATAAGAAGAAAACGGGCAAAGTAAAAACTGATTTTTTTCTTTTGTTAGTAGATTAGGGAAACTGTGGAACTAGTCATTGTAACCCATACTTACACTTATTTAGTGAATGTAGACAGGTAAAATGTTGGTATTACTTTATAGTAACATAGTGTTGACAAATTGTCCTGCATTCCTTAAAAATTAATTTTTTTTTCTTTCTTAGCATTAGCCGGACCAAGTTGAGGGAGGTGGAACCAGCAGCATGCAGTGGCATGGTAAAGGGTGAGCAGTGCACCAACAAAGCCCTTCCATTCACCAGACATTGTTTCCAACGTATCCTTCTACCAGAATTGAGTGTGCATTCAAGTCTTAACTCATTCATGGCTGAGCATTTCATTCTTTTTATATATATATATATAATTGATTTCAGAGAGGAAGGGAGAGGGAAAGAGAGAGAGAAAAACATCAGTGACGAGAAGGAATCATTGATCAGCTCCTCCTACACAGCCCCTACTGGGGACTGAGCCCACAATCCAGGTGTGTGCCCTTGACCAGAATCAAACCTGGGAACCTTCAGTCCGCAGGCTGACACTCTATGCACTGAGCCAAACCGGCTAGTGCTTAGTGTTTCATTCTTAAGTCAAGTGAACGATTCCTGCAATCATCACTATTTAATATTTAAAGTAATTTTTATATAACTTCTAATTTTCATGATGCCCTCTGGGTAATTTTTTTTGCTTATATAATTGCAGTTGTTCTAGAATCACATTGCAATAAGCAAAATTGACAGCAACTAGCGGGTTCTTCCAGTGGCTGTCACTTGATTAAATTTTGATAACAGAATTTCCGTCCTTCCAATGGTTCAAGATAATTTGTAACAAGTAGCTGTAACACTGATTGATGGAAAAATCAAATAGTATTATTAAAAAAAACTTTTTAATCTCTTAAGAAATTTACACAGTTTTACAGTGTGCCTTTTGCTGTGGTTTTAATTTGCTACTTGTATTGACTACAGCGCTGATTTGAAATGAATAAAATATAAACATCTCTAAGAAAATATCTTCAGACAGAAAATACTTGAGGAAAACTTATAGTAAGGGCTTCAGGCTGGTTATGAAATCTTACTGCTCTCACTTTTATTAAACATTTAAAATTGAGAAGCATTTAAAAAATTTATATGGTAACAGTTAATGTACTGTCTGACTTTTGCCATTCTTTCTATTTTTGGGTTTGTATTTTCACAACTTTTTTTTAGCAGCAGTTTCTGTGCAATAAAGGCTTATGAAGAGTCTTAACTATAAAAGAATAGGAGAAATAAGATGCTGCCTTAATAAATATAAAGTAAATTTCGGGGAAATGTAGTTAGAGGCTAAAAGTATTGATGCTTAAAAATGTTGGTGCTGTAGAGCTGATGTTCCAATTTTGGTAGTGCAGTGATGATTTAAAAGGAATTTTTCTTAAGTTGAAAGTTTGAGTTTCGTGTTGAAAATGTGAAATGAAAAATCCAAGTTTGGGTAGATGAGGTTTTTTAGAATTATATCTATCGACACTAATTATGTTATATTCTTTATTTTTTTCAACAACAGTTATATTAAATACTTTGTGTTAGTTTCAGGTGTTTTTATTCTGGTGGTGTGTATCATATATGAGGAAGTTCTCCATGTAAGGAAGTATTTTTATTTTTAACCATCAGAGTGGAACTTTAGGAGTTAGTGTGCTAAGAAAGAAATGACCCTGCTTCCCCAATAGCAGAAATCACAATGACCATCAAGGAGACTAGTATGCAGGTGCCCAATAGCAAAATAGACTCATTCAGATACATCTCCTGATAAGGAATGAGAAAACTATCATTGTTTTCCCATCTCAGTAGTTGGGCTGGTTCTTTACCTTTTATAAATAATAAAATTTATACTTAGCACAAGTAAAGGAAAGAAGAAAATTTTACATAGAAATTAAAAAGTTAAGTAGAGTTGCAGTGTTTGATTCCTAACTTAGAAAACCCCAGACATCCTCTTGAACCGCTCTCAGCAGCTCTTCTCAAGTTGCACGGCCAAGTTTGCAGATGGACAGCAGTGCTCTGTGCCTGTTTTTGACATCACACACCAGACACCTCTGTGTGAGGAACATGCCAAAAAAATGGTAAGTCCAGATCTTATCTTCTGCAGCAGAGGCTTGCAAACTTTTGATAGCTTTCCATAAAAGGAAGTATTTTGTGCCCTAACTGGTTTGGCTCAGTGGATAGAGCGTCGGCCTGCGGACTGAAAAGTCCCAGGTTCGATTCCAATTGAGGGCATGTACCTTGGTTGCCGGCACATTCCCCAGTAGGTGTGCAGGAGGCAACTGATCTATGTTTCTCTCTCATCGACGACGTTTCTAACTCACTATCCTTCTCCCTTTCTCTCTGTAAAAAAAATCAATAAAAAATATTTAAAGTAGTTTAATTAAAATATTTTTAATTTCTTTATTGATTAAGGTATCACATATTTGTCCTCATCCCCCCCAATAAAATATATTTTTTAAACAAATTTTTTAAAAAGGAAGTATTTTGTGACTTAGTACAAACTATGTATATGAATCACTGAAATGAGTTTTATGAAACAATACTTCCAGTACCTGATATTTGCTAGTCTATTCTATTTTACTTAAAAAAAAACATTGCTGGTCATGACTCATTGAGTTAATTTTATACCCTCCTTTATAAACAACAACACTGTTTTAGCAGTTTCTTAAATATGGGTATTTTGTTCACTATCCTTATTGTATACCTGTCTTTTTCTTGAGTTATATTTTCTTATACCTAGCAGATTTCCCAAGTTCCTTTTTGCTCTATTTCTCTAGGTTTTTGTTGTTTTAGATACAGTTCTCTGAATGTTTTGGATATTTGATAAAATTTTGACCAAAAGCCAAACCTTGCTATGTTTGTATTGAACAGTCATTATTTTTGTTAATGTTAATGTTATAAGTCTTAATTAATTTAGAATAGTTTAGAGGAAAGACGAGTCTGAATTAGTGAACTATCTGATTATGCAATCATTTCAAATAAATGCATTTTTATTGTTCTCATCCATCAGACACTTTTTGAGTTCTTCTGCTATTTGCACGGTATTGTGTAAAGCATAGGTACTGCAATGCTGAGGAAACAGTTTTGCCCTCTGTAAGCATGCTACAGTTTTCAGGGGTGCCCTGATTGAGAATAGAGCCAGTGATCTTTTGGTGCTCAGGATGATGCTCCACCAACTGAGCCACACTGGCCAAGACAGTTACTATTACTTAGATACTATTGTGTATTCTTTGTTTATTTAGTTGTGTTATTGCTGAACTCATCAAATCAAAGGCTACCTTGGTTGTAAAAACCACTTTTTGTGTGTACCACCAAGGAAGAAAAAATGCTACCCAGTGCATTTCTTATCACTTACAGGTGTGTTAGACATATGTTCTATATCATTCTTGCTTTCAGCTGAATTATTCGGCCTGTGAAAGGTAGTGTTCTCTACTTACATCAACTATAACCCAGCTTCCTCTCCTTTGTGGTTATTTTCCTTTCTCATTGGGATTTTGCTTTGCAAAAAAAAAAGAAAAAGTAATTGTGGTCAGTTCTTCAATACTGTATGTTTTTGCTTTACTAATAACAATTTTATACCCTGCTGCTCTTTTGTGTTTTTCTGTAAACACAATAGTTTTTCCTCTACATGTGAAACCAGCAATGCATTTACGTTAATTCAGACAATGGCGGTACAAAGAGCTGTGACCAACTTTGCACAGGTTGTAGGCAATCCCGACTGTGATGGCCGTCACCTGGCTGACATCAGTTATAAGATGGCATTACTGTAAAATGCTCCCCAATTGCAGAGACACTAAAATGTGCATCTTGAAGTGGATGAACTAAGGTATTCACATTTAAGGGTGCCAGCTGAGAGCAGCTAGTTATGTCATCAGTTTCAGTTCCTCTTCCTTTGCCTACTTACCCAGGCGCTGCAGTTTTATAAAGCTGTGTCCCCATTTCCCCTCTTACCTAGTCTCCAGGCCCATGGCGGCTACCTGAAGGCCTTTTACTGTCACGATTTCCAGGTCTACGTAGCCATCTCTTTATTTCTGTGCCCAGAGGCAGCTTTCTCCTTCTCCCACCTCCTGCACATCTCATTCCTCAAACTGCACGCGCCAAACGGAATTCCTTAACTTTTCTTCCGAATCTGTTTATCCTGCTGTGTTCTCTGTCCCAGCTGATGATATCATTATCCAGACTGGAAACCCTAGAGGCATTTTAGAGTTTTATAATCCCTCCATCCTCACCACATCTAAGGAGCTGTCAAATCATGAGACGTCTATCTCTGGGGCCCTGGCTGTTCCATCCCTCTCACTCTGCCCTTAGCCATCTGTGCTGTGTTGACTGGTGAGATAGCCCCCTGATTGGAACTCTGCTGTCCCTTCACAGTGCTACCAGGGTATTAATTCTTTTAAACCATTTGTCAAGTCAGGCTACTTCTCTCATCAAAAATCATTCCCCTTTGCCTATGAAATAAGTTTGAAATCTTTAGTACGGTATTCAAAGTCATACACAATCTGGTACCAAAATTCTTTATAGCTTATTCTGTGCTTCATCCTCCATTATGCCCCACGTACCAGTCAAACACAATTATTTACTGTTCTTTTGTGATTGGTTTCTGCTGTTTTCTTTACTTTAAGAAGGTCTTCCCCTCAACCCCAAGGACTTAAAATTTTTGTCTTTTAATTCCACAAAACTGAAAATTGATTTTTCTTTCATTTTCCCAAAGAAGGTGTTTATGTCACTATTGCCCAATTTTCTCTACTGTATTTATGTATGCGTGTTTTTATCATGGCAGAGTAAGTCCTTTGAAACTGCAAATTAGGTTTTAAAATATTATGCTACAGCACCCATCACAATGTCTTTAAATTTGGAAGAATGATATGTACATGTTGAATTGATTTGCATTATATTAAAAATGAGGTTTTTAATTCATCTGTTTTTTATACATAATCTTAGGTTTAGAGTGTATTTTGGGCATTATGTAAAATATTAAAAGATGTAAGTATTTTTTTAGGTAGCTGTTAGATTTTTCTCCAAATAATCTATTTAAAAATACCCCTTTATTCATTTTCAAGGATAATTTCTTGAGAGGAGATAGCTCCCGGAAAGTTCAGCACCAGCAGCAGAGGAAACCCAGGAAAAAAACCAAGCCTCCTGCACTTACCAAAAAACACAAGAAGAAGCGAAGGCGTGGACCTCGTCGACCCCAAAAGCCCATTCCCCCTGCAGTCCCCCAAGGGAACCTCAGCATGCCCACCAGCGTCTCACTGCCAGTGGAGGCCTCTCAGATCCGGTCAGTGACGGGCCCGAGGTCACGGGGTCCGATGGCTCTCAGGACGCCTCCATTCTCTTACTTTGTGATGCTGGAGCTAGAATGCAAATACACCATTTGGGGCGTCAGCCTCAACTTTTTAGTTTTCAGCGCAATTTTGACCAAATATCTGATGGGGTTGTATCTGAAATAAAGCTTTTGTTTAAAGCAAAGAGAGCAGATATTGAAATTGAGGATTTAATTGTCTACTCTAGACTTTTCTATTCTATAGAAATTCCATATATGTCCCAGCAGAAGTATCCCATCAAAAATTTGATGCATTATTAGTTTTGGCAGGAGTAAGCATTTGACCAGATGAATGAGGCTTCTATTTCAGCTAAGCATTTGAGTTTTACCTGTTTATTTCATTTTTTTTTTTAAATATTATTTTGACCAGATTTGAAATCTTATAAAAAAGTATTGACATACTTGATATACCAAACTGAAATTCATTCTACTAATTTGAAGTAAAAATATTATTTTGAAATGGTTGTCTGAATACATGTAAAGGGTGTAGAAGTATGTGACGACTAGTATATATGGTAAGGTCTGTTTGCTTTCAAATTTCCTTCTCTGAAAGTAGGAAGGAGACATTTTGATCTAGGATTTCCTGGTTTCTTGCTTGAGGGCCCTGTCTTGGGGGCCTGTGTGAAGGAAAAGGGGAGTGGTGGGGCAACCATGTCCTCTTCTCCAGGAGCCCGTCCACGCCAGAGCTGAGTGCTGATGAGTTGCCGGACGACATTGCCAATGAGATCACTGACATTCCGCACGACTTGGAATTGAACCACGAGGACTTCTCAGACGTCCTGCCACGGCTGCCTGATGACTTACAGGATTTTGATTTTTTTGAAGGTATGGTCAATTTTGTTCGTCAAGAAAAGGGACTTTTAGCCCTCGCTGGCTTGGCTCAGTGGATAGAGTGTCAGCCTGCAGACTGAAGGGTCCCATGACCACATGCCTGGGTTGCAGGCTTGATCCCCACTAAGGGATGTGCAGGAGGCAGCTGATCAATGATTCTCTCTCTCCATTGATGTTTCTATCTCCCCCTCTCCCTTCCTCTCTGAAATCAATAAAAATGTATTTTAAAAAAGAAAGAAAAGTGAGTTTTAAAATGAGCTCTTACAAGGGGAAATAGTTTTTTGAGATGTGTTTGAAATATTCCTTCTCACACAGAATGTCTCCCATAGAGAATACGAAGCTGCATAGCTAGTTTCTCCTTTTCAGCAAGTAAGGACTGTGCGATTTGTTCAACCCCATATAGACTTAGTAGGTGGATAGTTCAGTAGCCATCTTAAAACTTCACTCCTGCCAAAACCCGTTTGGCTCAGTGGATAGAGCATCGGCCTGCGGACTGAAAGGTCCTATGTTCGATTCGGGTCAAGGGCATGTACCTTGGTTGCCGGCACGTCCCCAGTAGGTGGTGTACAGGAGGCAGCTGATCGATGCTTCTCTCTCTTTGATGTTTCTAACTCTATCCCTCTCCCTTCCTCTCTGTAAAAAAAATCAATAAAATATATATATTTTTAAAATCTATAAAAAAAAAAATAACTTCACTCCTTTAAAATGAGTAATTTTACTTGCATTTATTTATTTTTAAATATGTTTTTATTGACTTCAATGATGAGAGAAAATCATTGATCAGATGCCACTTGCCGCCTTCCCCCACTGGGCATCGACCCGCAACCTGAGTATGTGCCCTGATCGGGAATCGAACTGTGTGTGATCTGGTTGATAGGTCAACATTCAACCACTGAGCCACACTGACCAGGCTTGAGTTTATTTTTGAGCAAAGACGTTTCAAACTTGAGTTTATTGAAGGCATTTAGAACTTGTGCTGATTTTAATTAATACTCTATCCTGTACTTTAGTTGAAATGAACTTTTCCAAAGCAGTTTGCTTAATCCCACCAATTACCTAGTGCTTTCATGGGAAATCTTTTAACTCTTAGACTGTTTCTTCAACTATTAAAAGCTGGATATTTTTGTGGTGACTTAATCAAGCTTCTAACCATAGAGTTTTAAAAGTATATTGATAATAAAATCATGTAGGCCCATCAGCTTCCGCATTGCAAACATTGGTTAGAAATGGAGAAAAGGAAGAGTGAGAGGGGGTATTGGAAAGCAGCGCAGAAGCCTCCTAAAGGTTAGCTTGTGAGACGCGCCGAGTGCCCGGTGCTGTGCTCAGCCACGCAGGGCCTCCTGAGTCCTGTCTTCCCCAGCTGCCCCTCCAGCAGGGAGATCTACAGTAGAGCTCCTTCCTGACACTTAGGTAAGAGGGTTTATTCATAAATAATCTGAAGTTGGACAGTGTGTCATTGCAGACCTGTCCTGCAGGTTAATGTTTCATTTTCCTGCCAGCCCAGTCCTGGCAAACCTCTCTCCTCAGCAGGCCCTCTTGGGCAGCCGCTGGCAGGGATGCTCAGGTGGATGGTGTGGTAGGGGGGACCTGCGAAAGCTCTGCTCATCGCCCTGACTTCTCTTTCTTAGGAAAGAACGGAGACCTCCTCCCAACGACCGAAGAGGCCGAGGAGCTTGAGCGGGCCTTGCAGGCTGTGACTTCTCTCGAGTGCCTGAGCACCATCGGGGTGCTCACCCAGTCAGACGGCGTGCCGGGCCAGGAGCTGTCGGAGAGAGGAATAGGAGTGTTCGCTGCAGGTACCGGAGAGCCAGGAATCCAGTCCCTGAGCCGCGAGGTGAACACGGACCTGGGGGAGCTGTTGAACGGGCGCATCGTCCCTGATAATTTCTCTAGCCTGGAGCTGGACGAGAACCTGCTCCGCTCTGCTACCTTGTCCGACCCACCCACACCCCTGGCAGGGCAGATCCAGGGGCAGTTCTCTGCCCCCGCCAGCGTCGGCCTTACTTCTGCCTCTCTGATCAGCCAGAGTGCCCTCGGGGAGAGAGCCTTCCCAGGACAGTTCCACGGACTTCACGACGGCAGCCATGCCTCCCAGAGGCCACTCCCTGCCCAGCTGCTGAGCAAGGCAGACGACCTAATCACCTCACGACAGCAATACAGCAGTGACCATTCGCACTCCTCGCCCCACGGAAGCCATTACGACAGTGAGCACGTGCCGTCCCCCTACAGTGACCACATCGCCTCTCCCCACGCAGCATCTTTCCCCGGCGATGCCATGGCAGCTACCTTCTCGGCAGAGATGCCTATCATGGCCCAGCACTTGCTCCCAACCCAACTCGAGGTGCCACTCGGAGGCGTCGTGAACCCCAGAACTCACTGGGGCAATCTCCCCGTCAACCTTGGGGATCACTCTCCATTTAGCAACCTCCTCGACGCAGATGGGCATCTTCTTTCCACGTCCCTGTCCACGCCGCCCACCACTTCGAACTCAGAGACCACACAGCCTGCCTTCGCCACCGCGACCCCCAGCAGCTCCAGCGTGCTCCCGGGGTTGCCGCAGACCAGCTTCAGTGGCATGGGGCCCTCCGCCGAGCTCCTGGCCTCCACCTCCCCCAAGCAGCAGCTCCCTCAGTTCAGTGCAGCCTTCGGCCACCAGCTGAGTTCTCACAGTGGCATTCCCAAGGACCTGCAGCCCAGCCACAGCTCTATAGCGCCTCCTACAGGCTTCACAGTAACAGGTGCCACAGCTACAAGTACCAATAATGCATCTTCTCCTTTTACCTCCCCTAACTGAGCGCGTCTGTGTCCGCAGGCAGGTGGGGAGCCTGGTGTTTTCTATCTTCGTTTCCTCCTTGACCGCCCCTTCCCCTTTTCCTAAAGAAGATTTTAAAAATAACAGACGGGGGCTGGGGGAACTCCCTTTTCCGGTTAGACAAGTCCCCCTGCGGTGGACCGTGCTGCAGTGTTCACGCGTGCTCCTTCGCACTGGTGCTCATCCCCTCCCGGCAGGTCCGCTCCCCCGTGGTCCCCTTAGCGGCTCAGCACAGTGACTGGATAGAACTGACTCAGCAGCAAGCCCCAGAAGCGGAAGATACCTCAGATTACCAGTGCCCTTTACTATTTCCTAGTATTCAGATCCATGCTTTCCATTTTGTTACCAGGTCTTTACATAGGTGGTTCTGGATAGAATGGTCCCATTCATCGAGTCCCCGTGTGTAAGACGGAGCAAATGGTGTGTGGAGGCCGATCAAGGCTCTGACTTGGCAGCAACTGCTAGAAACCAGTGAGGCCAGGATTCCATTCCTAACCGTGATCATGTCTAATCACAAAGGAAAAGAGTAGTCTTCGGACTGCCCGTGTGTATGTGTGCGCCCACACGTGTGTTTTTGTGCAGGGCCGGGAGCGGCTGTCCTGTTGTTGTTCTCTTTTTTTCCCTAATGAGCATATAAGACTCTTCCTTCTTTCCCACACCTCACACCCCTAATCATGTTGGTCATTCTCTCCCACTGAGTGAGCGAAGTTTCCTGAAGAGAGAGGGTGGTGGTCTGGTCACGCGAATGGCACAGCCCTTTTCTGCCAAGTTAGCCCGAAACCCAAAGCTGGCTTCCCGGCAGAGCTGCGGGAAGTGGGGAGAGGCTCCCGGTGCTGCAGGGCTGCCGAGAGCCTGTCTGCTGGTCCTGGCGCCGTGTTAGGCTGCACTTGTCCCTGGGTCCCCCTGTCCCGGCACATCGCAAGGTGTAATTAAAGGACACGTTTCCACGTGGAAGCGGGGTAGGTCAGGTAGATTGGGGAAGATGGCATCTGTGAACTTCTTGGTCCGTCTTTTGCTTTTGAATTTTTCATGTTTACAGTAGTGACTCTTTGGTAAGGTTTGTAAAATGTTGAAGACTCTTGTAGAATCAGTGTGCCAGTTGTGAAGTGATATGTAATATCTGAAGGATACACATTTTAAAGTTTCTTTCAAAGCAGATTATGGAAACGAGACATCAATTTTACCCACTCTTTGGTACTTTTAAAATGATTTAAGGGCTTGGGTTTAAGTTTTGGGAAATTGTCTGGAAGTACCAGGATTTTAGACTTAAAAATCATCTTGGGTAGGTTAGTAAATTGGTGACTATGAAATGAATATGTGAGTTCTCTTTTCACCTGCCTTCTCCCCTGCCCTCGCCCCTCCCTCAGAAGGGTGGAACTAGGTTTTAAAGGCGTCTGTCCTCTGCTTTTGCTGAGACGTTTTATTGTCCCCCGAGGTACCATTGGCTATTTATACATGAGTCTAGTCTAATTTAACATATATATATTTTAAAAGATGAGTAGAGAGAGCATATCTATTAATGATGTGATATAATGCTTCGTTTGTCAGGGAATATTTGATCTTCAGTTCTTTTCCATAGGTAAAGATTGGGATGTATTTTCCTACTTCCAATATGTATTCTCTTTATGCCATGCTACTTGTAACCAGTCCCTTCTTTTGAAAGCTTTTCTTTCTCTGCCTTTTAAAGGAATGATGGTGATCAGCAGGCATTATGCAGGTGCCATGTGACTGAGATTACGGAGGGGAAGTCACATGACTGTAAGAAATCATTATATGCCCTATTTTGTATTTATTGAAGTTTCTTTTTATGGGCCAAAAATACATTTGTAATATATTTAGTTTCTTTTTAAAATCCTGATAATTGATTGGAAGATTTATTTTTAATAGCTTGGCCTTTTTTGCAGGTTGAGAAATTTCTAAATTATAAATTATGTCACGAAGCAAAGTGATATTCGGTACCACCATAAATTTCTATTCTGAATGGTGAGAACAGATCATTTGACTATGTCTCGCCTGTGGGCCTATGTGAGTAAGCTTTTTTATTTTAATGTACTATACTGAAATGATTGAGTAGTTACCTCTGCTCAGAAGTGTCATGTAGTTTGCTGAACTTTTTTCACACCCCATTACAGGAACTGTACTTCCCAGGATTGGGCTCAGTCTGCATTGTGTGCTAATGAAAGGTTGTGGGAGCAGCTTAGGTTTTTATCAGCCCTTCTCCTACAGCAAAGGGAAAGTCAAGGGGAGGGAAGGGGAGGGGAGTCGATGGGAACTTTTCTGGCTATTTGTCCCTCGTGGGAGCTGCTTAAAATTCTTCAGTTATCAAAACTGAGTTTGCAGTAAGTTGCACATTTTGTTGTTTGCAATTTTCTGTTTTATGTGCATTTAAAAGCCCTTTTCTGCTTTCTAGTAAGGAGGCGGGAAATGATCAGGAATGTTGCCAGTTACAGCTTCACACCAAAAACTTGGAGAAAATTCATTTTTGTGTAGATGCCCATGGTGATAGCTGAAGAGAGGGCACGTAGAAAGTACCCAGTGTAGGCGTGAGGAATTAGTAAAAAAGCAAAACAAAACAAAATGTTTCCTCTCATTTCACCTACTTCAGAACCAATACCCGAGCTTGTGGTTTGCTTTGCTCTTGCTGTTTCTTGAGTCCCTTTTTGGAAGAGAGAACATCTGTGAACCCAGAGATATCCGTTATGTTTTTCTTGTAGCTAATGGAGCAATTCTGGTCTATTAGTAGTAGGCTTGCTATTAATATGTAAAAAAAGGAATGAAGTGTCTTTTATTCCAGAAATATGAAAATGAGTTTTAAAATAGCACTCATGCTATATACAATAAGGCAATACTGGAATCAAAAACAAATTTTATACAAGATCCTTCTTAGGTGGAAGCTAGCTTTTATTCTGGTGGTGCACTCAAGAAGGAGTGGTAAAGAAGGGTCAGTTCGCTCTGCTTCTGCAGCTCTTTGGGACCATTTACAAAGGCCAGTTAGATTGTGTTAATGTGATTTTACTTACAAAGTTGCTGCGGTTAATGGATACATTCTGTGTTCTGAAAACCAGGATTCCATTCTAATGTGTGATACTCATTGGCTGTGATCTAGTGTCCGGAGAAAAGATGTGTTTTCTCTCCTTTACTCTCTCTACAAAATTGTTAATATTATTTTAATTAAAGTGCTTAAGACGTTGCTTTTTTCTCTATTAAAAATACTTAGCAATTTGCACAGCTGGGTAAGTTACATAACTAGTAAACAATTCCTAATAGTTAATAGCAATTACACTTGACCCACCAAGTGACCGACTATGCAATGAAAAAATTTTCTAATTCTCGTCACATAGCTTATACTGTGGAAGATTATGTTCTCTGGTAACCTGCCATGAGAGAGATGGCTCTTTGCGAGTGACTTCCTGAGCAATGTGCTGGTGGGCGGTGTGGTGAGTCCCGTGTCCTTCCACGAAAAGACTATAATGTAATGAGGAGCAAAGAGGAAGCATGGAAGTAAAGCTGGAAGTCCCCCCTTCAAATTGCAGTTCCATCTTGAGTGGCTTCAGGCTAAAGAAAGCTAATGTTTTATCTTTGCCACAAAATTATTTCTAAGAATCCTTTCTTAAATAAGCCCAATCTCTCAACAGCAAGTTAGAAATCCTGTTTTTATGCGACTAACACTAAAGTGTTTTCTTAGCGTTCTCACTCTGTGATCACAACCCAGAGAAGCAAAGTTAGTTCTTTGATTTGGAAAGCAAGGTTATCTGTGGTACACACAGATACCCTATTGGTATAATTCTCTTTACCAATTTATATTTGTAAAGAATTTATATTTCTGTTGACCTGTTCCTTTCAGTTTTCACCAATTGGTACTAGAGCTTACGCACATGCAGGGGGTCCCATGCTGTCAGTTCGCCCTCCTGTGCAGTGCATCGTGGGTGGTGATGGTTGATAGCAACTTCTGTGTGAGGCGTCACCCTTACTCCAGGCTAGTTCAAAAGGTTGGGGATTAGTATCGTAAAAAGATGATGCTATTGATAACACTACACTATTTAATAAGTTTGAAATTCATTCAAAAAATTTTAGGTGTCTAGTTTGCATTTTCTTCATCCTCTTTCTTTTTAAACTTCTTTTAACATTCAATTAAATTCTATTTTTTACTGGTATATATAGAGTAATTTAATGTTTAGTGGTCTTTTAAATAGTCAGTAGAACTCTCTCGTTTATTTAGGATTTCAGAAAGAAAATGTAAGTCTTCCAAAACAGTCTTCATTTGTATCCCTTCCATCACTAACGCCTACATTGTGCCAAGGATTTTTTCTTGACAAAAAAAAGGTATTTCTTGAAGGTGGGGGTGGGAACATATATATGATAGAACATAGATTTCCTTCTCTCCCCTCCCCCCCTCTCAATACATTGAAAATAATTGAATCTTCACTGGCATTCTACAGAAAGGTAAAGCAACTTATGACTTCCGAATATCTTGAACTTTATATAAGCTTTCCCATATATTCTAGAGGGATCCTGAATCCACATTTAATAGATTGACACTTTAAACACTATCATTCAAAATAAAATACCAGTGAAGGACATTCTCATTTTCCCCTGACTAGCAAGTTGGGAAAGAAAACAAAATATCGAAGAATGACTACATCTCTCCTAATAACCAGTATCATCAAAGCTAAGGTTGTGGGTCAGATTTAGAGAGCCTTATTCTCAAAGAGCAAAAGTTCTCTCTTCCCTCCAGTCTTACTGTTTGTTAGCTTTCCTCTCTGCGCCGGGGCACAGAGCTGATCAAAGGAAGTGTGTGGCCTCAGAGCGGAAGAGCCTCTTCGCTCTGACTTTCTTAGCTACATCCCTGGATCTGGGGATGTTTGGTTTCCTTTCACTGGCAGAGTTTTTGGTGATCTGGAATTTAGTTTGCTGAACAGTCTTGTAGGAGAAAACCTGTCTATCCCTTAGTAAGCTCTGTAGGGCAGCACACACAGCCTGCCTTCCTTTCCCCTTCTGCCTGCTTGCTCAGTCCATCCCAGCTCTGAAGTGTGTACACACACACACACACACACACACACACACGGAGTCTGTACTGATCCTGATCCTGGCCTAAGAGTAACAGGACCCTCTTCTTTCACTTGTTTTGTTTCTGTTTGTTTGTTTTTTTAAGCTGGGGACCACTGACGTAAGCTCTATATGCACCCAAAGTTCCCCTTGGAAAATTCTTCAGCATGCAGTGCAGAAGGCTCCAGCGCAGCGGAGTGCCACACCATTGCTTTTAGCCGGGGATGACTGATCGCCCCTGCAACGGCTTCACCTCGCTAAGGTCCCGCAGGCTCCCCAGATGAGTGTGGACATGATAGGCGTCTTCACTGCAAGCAAGGGTTGAATCAGTTCCTCTCCCCACAGTGATCGTTCTTTTTCACTGTATAGTGTTGAGTATGTCTCAGGGATTCCTTGTGGAAATTAGGGCAGATTTTAAAATACAAAATAGTTTTCAAAAAAACAAACAAAACCTAAAGGTGACTCATCATTGAAGAGAGTGCAAGAAAGAGAAAACATTTGGTTTCGTAGCCCACAGTGTCTTGCATAGAACTTTTCCTTTCTCCTTCAGCCTCTCATCTCAGCTTCAGCGTACAGATCCTTTCCCATCATGCACAGCTTTAAAACTTTTATTTAAAAATCTCCTTCCCCGATGAGCTTTCAGAATACTTATTGTAGATTTTAAGAGAAAAAAGGTATATTAATTTATGCTATTAACATCACCTCATAAATTATAAGTTTTATACTAAAGCTGTATTGAGTGTAATGAGTTATGTTGCCTATGTGTTTAATAGCTAAAAATTATATAAGAGCTTTTTTTTTTTTTTTTTTTTTTTTTTTAACAAAACAAACTAGTGAAGCACCTTTTTACACTGGATCTCCGTTGTGTCAAGGTGTATAGCTGTCCTTTGCTACCTTGCAGATATATAAAGTAAAAGGATACCCTGGGGCCTCAAAATGTAGAACACCTTTAGACTGTTAACTGCGCTCACAGAGCTGTGAGAATCACGTTTCTGCACCCAGTCATCCGCAGTTCACACTGAAGATGGCTAGAAGCTTCGTTACAGGGTAAATAGAAATACATAGATCAAGCAGAATTCCCAACTACTGTAGCTGGAATTTGTAAACTAAGTTTTTTAAGACCTCCTCTCTCTCCTATGGATTTATTCTTTACAGTTGATTTTGTAAGTTGGGAAGTAAAATAGAGAAAATAAGTCTAGAAGTTCTCAGTGTCTTATTCAGGAACCTTTTTATCCCTCCTCACTAAGGAATTCCCACTGTGACTTAAAAATAGAATTAAAATTACTTGTGTGCATGTATATGTCTGTTTTTACACACATGCAAAAATATCAGGGCACGTGAGAGAGATGAGTGTAAGCTTCAGTTAAAAATAGAGGAAGGTAATAATGTATTATAGAAATATGATTCACTTAGTTGAGGGTATTGGAATTACTTTCTCAGTGTCTCTGTTGTATAAATTACACCAAATTGTTCATCATGTTAAAAGGCTAACTCCTGATATCATGTGCTTTTTATTCTAATGTTTTAACTTATATTATGCCATGTTTTTAAAGTGACATGAGAAACAGCAGGTTCTAAGACCAGTCTCTGGCTTTTGAGTTTAAAGATAAGAGAGAGGCAGGGCTGTGTTTATCTGTTGGGGTGCTGGGACCAGAGATCAGTTGAGCCTTCTTTTTTATTTTATTTTATGGTTTCTTCATATTCTGAGTTGGAAAATATTGTTGATCATCTTTTCTTGGTGAAGTTAAGAAAATTAATAGGCCTTTGATTAAAAAATGCCAATTTTTGAAGGGGCTGCTTTGATTAATGATTTGGTGGGATCATTTCACTGTGCATAATTCAAAACAGATGATTTCAGTTATTTTCAAAAATGAAGAAAAAAATTACTTGTGCTATTATTTATGAAGTTAGCCTGCCCTCCTCCCCCTATATTTTGGCTATAGGAAAAAATATTCTACCCTTGACTTGATTCATATGGAATTAAACATTCCTATATTTTTGAGGTTTGCCATTTTGCTGTTTTACATTCATTACTGGATTATCTGGTGGTCTAAAGTAGTCAAAACTAGAGTTGTTATTAAATGCTCCAGTCATATTTATTTTTATTATTTAAAAAATCATGTATTTGGACATAGGTCAGAACAGCTTCTGATAGTACACCCTGAGTTTGTAGTTCTCTTTGAAGCCTCACTCATCTTATATATAGTCAAGACCGAAAGCTTTATATGTTCTTTTTACAGTGGTATTTTTGCAGCATCTCCCAGTTCCATTCACTCTTGCTTTATGGATTTAAAGAAACCTGCATATTTCTTGTACATATGCATGCAAATGAAAGAAGGGGGTTTGTATTGGTGCCATTTCTCCCTTCAGTTACTGATTCATGGGATTCACTAGACTAAAGTCCCCCTAATTGAAGGGTGAAAATTGACCCTCTGTGTATATCTGTATAGAGATGTGTATATGGAATGTGGCGGCACTTTGCTGAATGTGAACTTGCCTTGTCAATGGAAAGATTGAGAAGTATTATGTTTATTTATACATTTGTATAAATCTATATATACACATATGTATATGTGTGTGTATAGATAAAGCTATATACATGTTTCCCTAAAAATGTGTGTGTATAATAGAGAAACAGCCTTTGTTAATTAAGCAAGATTATATACATCTATGGAGAATTCTGGATTCTGCTGTAAGCAGGAGGAGGTGATAGTCCACCATTAGAGCAGACTAAGATGGAAGAAGTCCTTTGGATTATAGTCTTGTTTACGGTGATTATAACTGAACTTCTGGTAGAACCATTCTTATCACTTCCACTGTTCTTCATCTTCTCGACCTTCTAAGTCTATCTTTCAACATTTACAACACCTCATCGTGTTTTTCCTCTTGTGTCCTTTCAGAAGCATTGTCTAAGTGTATTTCATTAACTTAAAGATAGTTCCTTTTAAAGATTTTTATCTCTGAAATTTCCCAGAAGGACAAGTTTTGGTAATATTTTCTATAGTAATTTTTAGAATCAGGTGTTCATCTTTGTTTCAGAAACACACAAAAATTAGCATTCGAACAAAACTGATCTGAAAAATTTTACCTAGATAATTTTGGAACATTTTACATAAATTGAAAAAGAATTTGATTTTATGATTGATATTAGTGCAAGGTTCATTTCCTCCTTTATTGTCATTTTAAATTTTATTTGATTTTGGTAAAAAAAAAAACAAAAAACTTACTATTTTCATTTTAATGGAAAGAGCACAGACTCACATGTTAGCCTCTTGAATTCTATCAACTCATTTTACTCCTGATGAAACTGCTTTGATGAATTCTTGCTCTATTTCCTTTTGACTTTCTCACATCGGTGGCATTGTTCTGACTTTGCTGCAGCTCTCTAGGAAACTCGTATCCCTATCTATTGTGCCTTTCAAGCTCTTATGCACACACAGACAAAAGTATATTTATACATGTGGGAGCATGTGTACATATACTTTTCTAAATGCTCACACAGTATGTCTTTAGTGTATATTGTGGGAGTGGATATATAGATATTCCAAGGCAATGAAATGTTGCTCTCTAGATATATATGTATATAAATAGTGTTGATATGCTGTATATACACATGTATATGTATGAGTTTTAAATGGCAATCTTTTACATTTAGCAAAATGCTGCCCCTACTGGAATATTGTCACTGCAATGGCAGTTGTTTGTAATGATTTAAAATACATTATCAAAAATTATTTAAAGAACATTTAAAATTCTCATCTAAAGATATCCACACATTATTTATTTATCTTCCTTTTTTTTTTTTTTTTTTTTTTTTTTTTTTAATTGAAAGGGAGGCTGTCATTTTTTAAATGCCATCTGTCTTATGGGAGACGGAGAGCTGGAAATTCACCGAGGGACCTGGTGTTGTTCATCTCTCTGATGCACCACAAGCCAGCCTATTTATTTCAGTTATAATGCAGTCCTAATATTTCCATTAGTGCATGTCATCCACCAGCTCCTAGATCAGCTTAACTCACCAATTTGCCTCTTCCTTTCATTAATGAATAATGGTCGTCCAGATCATTCTGCCTGGGGGAAGCTAATTACTCTTGCTGCAGGGAGCTATGTCACCTAACTGTGCTTCTGCCTTGTTCGGAAGTCAATCTGAGGGAAGGCAGCACTCCCATAAAGCTGTCTTAGCATGTTCTGCATTTATTTAGTTAAAGGTCTTCCCTTTAAAAAAAAGAACAAGTCTGCATGCACTTGACATAGATTTAATTCTTATTCCCCACAGCTTCAAGCATATTTCATTAGCATATCAATTTGACACACCTACTGAAATGATATTAAGAAGGAACTCTTAAATATTTTATTTTGTGATGAGTTGGCAGCTGATTAGGTTTGAAGGTGTTCTAGAGGAAAGTAGGTGGACAATCTAAATGTAAGATGTGAGGAAAAACAGTGGAATAAGTAAGGTCCCTGAGAACTAAAATAGAGAGATTGGGGCGAGTGACTGCAGAGCAGCTCAGCTGGAACCTGATATCAGAAGCAGCCTTTAACAAAAAGCCTCTTGGCAATCGCACGGTACTAACCAGAGTACTGAAGTGTAAGTTGAAACCAAGTTGCAGTGGGAAATCAAAGGTGAGGTGGCTTGTTTGAAACCGCTAAAATGACAGGCAGGTTGCACAGTTTTCAAATCTCTTCAAGTAACTGCACGGTAGCAAGGATTAGCGATCCTCAAAGCCCATCTTTCTCAGTGTTCTCATCCACCTTGGCACACAAGTATGTCTAATAGTCCATACATTAAAAATATTTACCAAGAGGAAAGTTGCTTAAAGGGAACTTACAAACTAAGAGTCTTCTCTGCGTTTGTGACTGGTGGCTGGAAGCTCAGTTATATGCACAAACGCTAGGAGCCACGGGGTTCTGCACAGACTGGAGGGAGACGGGGAGATTGGCAGGCTTGGTGCGAGCCCCCCGATTCTGAAGGAAATGCATTGGGTGTGGTGTTTCTGGGGGAGACCACACTCTGGGAGGGGACAGGCTTCTGGTTTGTAATTTCCCTTTAAATACGAAGAGATGGCTCACATTTTCCATATATCTCTCAATGAATGTACTGTATTACTGTTTTAAAAATTTGATGAAATAATAATGAATTGGTCTCCTTTTGTTATCTGGTCCTTGTTTAATTTGTTTAAGGGTTTTTGTATACAAAAGTTTACATTTTTATGTATATTTTTCTTGTGTAAAAACTGATGTAATATGTGTATAAAACATTGTATGTATTATCTGTATATAGTGTGACAAAATGATTTTTCTTTCTTTCTTTTGGATGTATTAATAAATCTTGCTGTGAAGTATCCTTGTATTTGGTTTAATTTCCTTTGCCTGAATATTGATGGAATGTTCTAACCCAGGGTCAGTATTTCCTCCCACTTTGTTATTTAGGATAAATTTTTCTTTATATCTTATATTTTTATCAAGAACACTAGAGACATATATTTATGGTTCTCTATGGTTAGACTGACAATAATTAATATATGTAACATCTGTGGATCAATTAAACGCTATCTAAGGTGACTTTGATATGCATCCAACCTTGAAATCCAACCAGAAGTTGCATTTGAAATGGTTAAATGTTACAATGGAGGTTTTACAAAGCAATTACTATTTCATTTAATGAGAAGCCCTCTCTCCATTTTCATAGCTTCACAAGTATCTAAGAATAATCTCATGCTGTAGAACCAAACTCAAAAACAACAACACTAGAACCCTTTCCCTTTAAGGCAGAGGCGGGGAACATCTGCCTGGCGCAATCATTTGGTCTGGCCCTGCCAAGGCATTAGGAGTGAATTAGTTAAATGTTTGACCAAATACAGCAGGCTAATTTTAAGTTGATAATTTTGGATATCCCCCAAATCATGTTCTAAATATCCAAATGGCCCTTGGCAGAGAGAAAGTTCCCCACCCCTGCTTAAAGGCAGTGCCAAGTAACCGCCTTGTGTCTCCTTAGAATTGAATTGTTACTTTAAAAAAAATATGTAGATTAAACTTCTCATTTCCTGTGCAGTTTTGCTGAGGGATGTAGTGGTAAGAAAAATCAGTAATCTAATCACACAATACATTTGTAAAGATTCACTCCTTTTATTCTTATGGGGCATTTGGATTTGTTTTCCTTGGTCTTTAATCCAGGCATGCTTGCTTTTAATTTTTATTGTACTTTATTGATTTGAGAGGCAGAGAAAGAGAAACATCAATTAGTTTCTGCTCCTGCATACACCACACAGGGAATTGAACCCAGGACCCTTGGGGGTGTGGGATAATGCTCAAACCAACAGCCACAGCAGCCAGGGTGTGAGGGTCTTTTATTAAGAGACTAGAGGCCCAGTGCATGAAATTCGTACATGGGAGGGATCCCTTAGCCTCACCTGCACCCTCTCCAATCCGGCACCCCTTGGGGGATGTCCAACTGCCTTCTGCAATCTGGGACCGCTGGCTCCTAACCTCTCAGCTGCTTGCCCCTAACCACCTCTGCATGCCTGTCTGATCGCCACTAAATGCTCCCCAGCTGGCCTGACGGCTTCTAACCACCTCTGCCTCACCCCTGCACCTGGAACCCAGGCTTCCCTCCCTCTAGCCGGCGGCAGGTACCCAGGACCTGGGCAGCTTTGCCAGGGCCACAGCTATAGGCGAGCAGGACTGTGGGGCAGGCGGCTAGTCCCTTTTCCAGGCCACAGCCCCAGCCACCGGGACTGCAGGGCAGGCTTCTGATTCCTCTCGGGCCACAGGTGCGGCTGCTGGCGCTCAGGACCGTGGGGTGGGCGGCTCGTCCCTTTCCCAGGCCACACGCTGGCTGGTCCCATCCCTCTCTCCCCAGATTAAGTATCTGAGCCATAGCATGAGGGCATGATGACCATTTGCATATTAGCTCTTTATTATATAGAACTAGGCCCAGAGCACAAATTTGTGCACCTTGAAAGGAATTGTAGACTGTGAAGCTGCACTGGGCACAGGGGCAGGTCTCAGCCCATCCTCCGCATCCTTGCCCAGTCCATGTATCACCTCCACAGTCCGTAGAGGCCAAATATGGGCCCCATAGCACTTAACTTCTGTACAAAGATGATTCCTCTCAATTGCTGGGTTGTCTTTTGTTTGTTTGTTTGTTTGTTTGTTTGTTTTTACTGCTAACCATTGTACTTGCTCTTTCCACTCTTCCTCTTTAAGCCATTGCAATTTAGCTCTCACCTTGTTATTTTCCTGAAGCTATTCTTCCCAAGGCCAGTGGTGACCTTCGCTGTCATTCTCTTTAACATCTGAGTCCGTCAGCATTGAAGACATTGCATCATCCTCTTTCTCCACTTAATTCTTTGGTCATGCCTTTTCCCCGTTTTTTGTTCCAACTCGACTTTCTT